GTTTTTGGAGCATAAGGTGACCTCAGTAATGTAAATGTTAATAACTTGATAATTACTCATTTTATGGAAGTCTAACAAGTATACATTATTTACGTAAAAAATACTAGTAAATTCTATAACGTACGAAAAACGAATATTTGTACAGTGCCGCACAATTTAGGGGGGATAAAAGGTGAAACGACACCTATCGCACGCCACTAGAAGAAGCCAATAAATGGTTTCTGCCATATTTATGCATCCTTTAAGCTAGTAAATCTGTCTGTTGAGTTTGATAAAGAAATATTAACTAATACCGGAGCTACAGGAAAAAATAGTTTATTATTTTTAAATTTCAACGCCCTGTATCTCGAAAATGAGCCGCTTTAGGACATATGTTTATTAAGTAAACTGCACTTATTTTTGGATTTTTTACATGCCATATCCGTTTGTAACACCTATTCATGAACACCCTGTATAGGAACATTTAGTCTCAAAATGAGGTATTCTAAAGCCTCCTGAAGTCCTGCTATTTAAACCTGAGACACCCTGTAGTTATATATTATACATACTTATTCGGAAAGCTTATGAAAAGAGCTTTAAGTTAAAAAAAAATCGTCAAGATTCATTGAAAAACAACGCTGTTACAGATTGTCAAAGTTGACGGCCGATTGTTAAACAAATTAGGTTGGTAGGGGCAAAAAAAAATACTGTCATAACCGACAACCCGAGTACTTTCCCAGGTAAAAATATTTTATTTGTAGAAATATATTAAGTGCATAAGAAATATTGTCAAAAGTCAGTGGGTCGCTTGATTTTCGACAAGCCGAGACGCGGCGGAAGGGTGGGGAAGCGAACGAAGGGAAATTCACTTGAAAATAATATATTTGACAGTCTGTAACTCCGTTGTTTTTCAACTAATCTTGACGATTTTTTTTTTAACTTAAAGCTCTTTTCATAAACTTTCCGAATATGTTATAATATCACGCTCGTGCGTCGCATTATTTCATTTTGCAATTAAGGCGAAGTCTTCCATGAAAAAAATCAGTGCGATTGTGGCTCGGGATCGTCCAGACTAATAATTAGTTAATTTGTTTATAAGGCCATAACTTGTAAACTATTCAACTTACCGATTTCAGATTTCGTGTGAGTTATTAGACAGTAGTGATAAGGAATGAGATGATGCGATGCCAAAACGTTCTGGTAATAATAACGCAGTTTATAAAAGTTAAATTCAAAAGTCATAAATAAACTTCTTCTGTTTACAACTTTTGATCTAATCAATACTTTTTGACGCTCGAGGGCTAGTTTTGTAGGTCTTTTGAAGACGAAAAAAAGTACTTTACTGTTTTCTCGTGGAAATGAACGGAAAAAAGTTATAACGAAAAACGTGAATTTACATACAAATTATACAATTAACCACCCTGTAAACAATCTTCTCCCTATTTGTATGACTGTGGAAACTAATATGTTATTGTACATAATATTTAGCATCTATAGTGATAATATGTCTTCAACAAAAAAACAGACGTACTCTAATCAACGCCTACGCCACTGTTTATAATAAATAGTTACTACCTTAATTTTTTTGCCTACATTTAGAAAATAACACCATATCTTTCCTCGGGAATAATTTAAACAACCAGTACATTTTTAAATATATAAATTAAGTTTATTTACACTAAATATAATTTATTTGGTTTTTTGGGATGTTTCACGTGTTTGGCATGCTAATTATTACACTGCTAAGTTATTTAAGTAATATTTAACAAAATATTCCACTAAAAACGGATTTGGGTAGACCAAGGTACATTATTATATTATTTATTAATAATTAGCGTCTTTAACATTTTTAGCATCATTGTCTGGGTCCGGCCATTCACGATATGGAGCAGAAGACGACGTCCTTGGGCTCTTTTGTGATAAATGAGAGAGATGCTCGTTCATGATTATAAAAAATTTATTATGCAAGATGATGTTTCAAGATTCCCGTACCAATGGACATGATAATTTTTTATACAAAACGACAATGTATATTTTTTATATACACATTCCGTGATTGAACTTTGATGATAGTTATTTCTTTTATATTATTTATACTTCGTTTCATTCTAAAGATTATATGAATATCATCAGATCAGAGTTGGCATGGTTACGAATGTGGACGCACACTATTTGATCAATATACCTACTCGGCTCTCAATTGTTTCGACCAAAACAGTCCAGCAGTATGCGAATACCAGGTGCTATTAACCGAAATGTCTTACAGGTGTACGAACCTCATCCTGTAGTTACTTCAAGATGCCACCAAACTTTGGAAAGCTATAATTTTGATAAATGGGATCAGCAGTTGCCAAAAACCTTGCAGGAACTTTGTGTGAAAGCCATAGCTAAGAACTGGGCAGGTAGGATATAAATTTAAGTCTATACTAAGGTTAAAGTAGCTACGTTCTTTCAATTTACTTGATCTTACTCTCCAAAGTGATCTAGATCTACAGGAAAGTATCACTTAACTGATGAGTTTGTAATAAATATTTTTAGAAAAACCTGTACTAAACGAAATAGTTCTGGCGATAGACAGATACTTCCTTCTGGATATATTAGAAACTGATCTGCCCTTGAAGCTGACGATTCCCAGGATTTCCGACGACGTTTATTGGAAGAGGTGTTACATAGAAAAATGGCCTAGACGACTTCCTGTCAAAGTAAGGCCTATCGAAATTAAAGAAATCTTCAGAGACACCGACATAAGGAGGCTGAGCAGCGTCTATAGCTCCACCAGAAGTAGTCTCGATGGAGAAACGGCCACGAATGGAAGTCAGAGTTCGAAGATTTCCGAAAAATCCAGACTAAGGTGTTCAGAGCAAGAACGAAATAATTATGATCCCGAGAAAAAAACGTGGAAAGAATACTACATTGAGATGTACCTTAAAGAGTACATAGAGGATTTGAAGCCGGAAGACTACGATGCTGAAAAGGTAAATAAAAGTGTACTTACCTATTCACCTTTATTGTAAAGCCATTTCAAGCAAATGCATTTTTTTTTAATCTTATCAAACGAAGTAAAACAGTATTCCTACCAAAATCAGATCTTTTTATTTCCATACTTTTTAGGTTAGGTCGAATACCCCCAAAATTTTGAGTAATTGACAAAAAATAGTGAAAAATTGCCGAAGTAACATTAATGAGCCCAAAAAAATTCTAAAAAATTTGTTCTGAACTTGATCAAGTGGGTTTCTTATGAATCTTGATGTACTGAATCTAGATCTGAAGTCTTTTAAGCCGCATGTCCCTCAGTTTTTGCAAAAATCGCAAAATAATAGCGAAAAATTACCAAAAGTAGCGAAAAATCGGCAAAAATCACATTTGTGAGCGCAAAAAAATTTTTCTGACCTTGATGAAGCGTGTCTGTTATGTATTTTGATACGCTGATGTTGAGACTGACGTCTATTAGCTGTGGGGATGTCCCCACAGATTTTCTATAAAAACGCAAAAAAATATCTGAAAATGGTAAAAAATTATTGAGAGAAAAGAATAAAAAAAACAGTTTTAAAAAAATTCCTATTATAACAAGTTGGCTGTGGGCAAATGACATTGTGACAAATTGTTATAAAACATTACAGAATATCCGTTGTTAAGATGAAGTTCTTATAATATTGTGGGTACACATGTTCGCAAGTGAACCATTTTTAAGCATTACGTCAAGAGCGCCAGCAGGACGCCGCCGGACGCACCAGCGTTCCAGGAAGGGTCTACGGCGGACTGGCGCCGGCGACCAGATGCGTACTCATATACTTACGACCGACTCCACACACAGGGACTCTCCAACGAACACTCACCCTGTCAACACGTCCTTTTGTATATAACTTAGTTTTCAATAAAATACTTTATTATTACCATTGAGAGAGCGTTTTATTTTTGGTGTACAGCGAAAGCAACCCTCAATATTAACCAGCTTGTTATAATATGAATTTTTTAAAACTATTTTTGTTATTAAATGCTAAATATCTCAGAAATTAATGATTTTAGCTATAGGGAATGCTTTATAAAAATGAAAGAACATCAAGTATATTTTCAGTTTTTAAAATAAAATACAGGGTGATTCGTTTAAAAAAATGAGAAAATTATATGCTCGAGTTTTGGCTGGCCCTATATTCAACTGTTGCAATAATAATAAAGAAATAGCACTTTCCCATAAAACTATACCAATATCAAAAAGTTATTGTTAAGTTGTTCTGTTTAGGACGCTGAAATGGGAATGATTCTCGTATATAATTGACTATAACTTTTGAAATACCCTGTATAACATAATTAAACCCTATATTAGAAGCATGGGAGAGATGAGCTTAATCTAAATTTGAAATAATATATAGGGCGTCCCATTTAAAAAATAGTATGTTTGGTTCATCCTGGTAATACGTAACACTCTTTATATACGAAAATAATTTTAAAATGTTTTTTTTTGCTATCTTCTATAATAACGGAGATATCGTACTTTAACAGACTAATGCCGCACCCTGTATATTTATTTCATCAACTAAATAATTTAAAATACGAATTCCTATAATTACACGTTTGGCATGGGTATAATTACAGGAATTTGCTTTCGCCTCAATATTTTCAGCACAAAAATGACGGCTATTTCCTGTCAAACAAAATTAAAAATAGTATATACCATAACCTTTAATTACGAAGCTAATGTACAACTATCTAGCGCGATTTACATCAACTTTTACGTATGTTTAGATGAAGGAACTATCAGACTTATGCTCGGATTATGTAAGAGTTCTCAGAATAGAGCAGATGCGCTGTTCGGAAAATTCCTCAAACAGGATCCCGCTGAATTCGGTTTTGAGCGGATTCCGACACCTCAAAGAACTTTCAATTTGCTTCAAACAGGTTAGATATACGAACGGTTATAAATAAAATACAATTAGCAGTCTTGATGAATGGATAATTGCCGAATTTTTTTTAGACTTACGTTGGCGAGCAGTTTTCTTGGAATGTACTAAATATAGCTTCCCAGGACATCAGGCTATTGGTCAAAGGACTGGTGAAATTAAGATTGCACGTGTTAAGGTAGGTACACAATAGCGTAATACGTAACGCTCTTGCGCTACGCAGAAAATCTCAATTCACTTTTTAGGATCAGAAACTCTGATATAAACTGCGAGAAGTTGATACTGATACTAAAAGCGCTTTTAAAGCATGATATAAGGGTGCTGGACTTTTATCACTGTAAAGTAGCCGACAAAGGAGCTTTGGCAACGTCTAATTTTATCACGGAAGTGCCTGTCAAAGAATTAATTCTAGCGAATAACAGAATAGGTAAAAACAATGCAACTTTTATTAGTACAATGCCTTCATAAATGATAACAAGACACGTGACTACTGAGCTTAGGCAACCAACTCAATTAAAAATCCCTAAATCTTAATGATGCATTTACAATTAACAATGACAAACCTGCCGGCGAAAAAACAAAATGTTGTGTTTTGTTGTGTTTGATCTTATTGTTTTAATTTTAAGAAAATTTAATTGCGAAAATGAAGAAAATAAAGTTACTGTTTCAAACAAAACTACTGATCACGTGACTTGTAATCATTTATGAAGGCTCTGAATTAAGTTTCTAGTTAAACAATATACGAGTGTAATTAAGTAACACTAATCTGAAGACTACCTACTATACTTATTGATTTTATAATGTGAATATTATTGAAATTTCCTGTAACAAGCCGACTTAGTTATAATTTGTGTAGGGCGCAAAATTTTTCAAGCCGCCTCTGCCCAATATTTACAATTAAGATTTATCACACGACGATCTCGAAAAAATATCGTAGTGACGGCGTGCAAATTGCAGTATGCCTTGACCTCTGTGATGCAACAATTTGATTTTACAATTTATTTTTAAGGTGTGATCTGAAGGTTGTAAAAAATCCTTCCCTTTCTTATTTTTCCGAAAAAATTTCATAAAATGAACTACACCTTTTATGGCTGAAGCAAATTCGACTCTTTTGAGGGGTTTCTTTTACTTCCTAAAAAGATCCAAAAAGTATGTAGTTTAAACATCACGTATTCGAGTTTTCGAGAAAAGTTGACAGACGAAAACAGCATCTCGATATCTTGATTCGTTTAATAGATACAATAACTGAATAATAAAAAAACAATTTTTGACATTTATTCCTTGAAAAGCAAAATTGTGTAAATATCATTCGAAAAGAAATTTTACGCAAATTTCAAAAATCCAAACATTAGGTTTTTTCAAAAAAAATACTTAAGTATATAAGTTGTGATTATATCTGGAAAAAAATGGAGGTTATAGAAAAATTTGCGTACATCAGTGGAAAAATGTGTAAAAACACTCGTCTTTACAAAAATCAAATATTTTCACAGACAAAAATTATAGGGCATCATAGAAAATTGCAAAAATTGCAAAACCAATCAATATATCGAGACGCGATTTTCATCAGTCAACTTTTCCTAAAAATCGAGCCCGTAACATCTAAACTACTTCTTTCTTTTCGAGAAACAGGAGAAACTACCAAAAAGTGTTGAATAATGAAAACTAATATTTGAAAAATTAAATTAAAAAAAAAACAATACAGAAAGGTTGGGAGTTCGCTCCTGGGATCAATATACGACAATTTAAATTAACTTACCTACACAGGGTGTTAAAAAAGTACTCCAAAAAATGGAAAATTTTTTTTCTTATTTGTACCTTCCAAACAGGTTGACCAAACCAAATTTAATTTGGTACAAAATTTGTAATGACGTTTTTCTCTTAACTAGGTTTGATAGTTTAAATTTGTTTGTTATTGTCTGCTTTCATAGTTAAAGATATAACCATATAATGTATGTGGGACCCAATCACAAGAATTAGCCGCTAACGAATGGTATGACGTCACAGCATGGCTTGTTTCCCTTGCTTCGTTTTCATTAACAACTTTGATAAATTATTGAAAAAAATTTGTTATTTTGTGTATATTAACTACTGAATATGATTTAAAAAAATATGCTTAGTGAAGAGGAAGATTCAGAAGTACTTACATCTTTTTTAAGCAGTATTTCTGCTCCACAAAACGTTTTACAAAATAAATAGGATTTTCTAAAAGAACAGGTAAATTGTCTAGAAAATATACTCTTTTCGACACAACGCAGCTTTTTCGGGGTAATGCAAAATATGACCATAAAATATTTCTTGACATAAATATAACATGTGACATCACAAATTTAAATTATGTTTCATGAAAAAAATATCTTATTTTCTCTGCAAATAAAATCTCAGCAGTATTAAAAGTTAGGTGTACTGTGATTTTTATGAATAAAACAGATTGTTTAAGTCCCTGAATATGTCCATATAAATTTTCTAATTTTTTAATTTTTTAGTACTCTGCTCTAAAATTTGTCACACTTATTTTAAATTCAATGCGTACTCAGACATAACCCGCATGAAACAACATTTTTTAATATCACACTTTTGATTAGAAATTTCTTATTTGATGTGCTTTGTTCCTTGTTTCAACTTTCCAAGAACATCCTATATAGGTACTCAAACCTACTATTATTGCAGGGTCCAAAGGAATACAATACCTATCGCACGCCCTGCGCCAACCTGTCTGCTCCATAAGCAAGCTAGATTTACATTTGAATCAACTAACTGATGAAGCTGGGAATTTACTTTTGAGCTCGCTAAACCCAAAAACAATGAAATCCCTCTTCTTGAGCGGATGTGGCTTTTCAGGGACCTTATCCATAGGACGCCTGCTGAAAGCTAACCCTGCATTGGAATTCCTCGACATTTCCAATAATAGATTGGGTGAGGTATGGTCTGGGTACCCATTATTTTTATATATGGTTACGGTTAGACTTGTTGTGGCTGTAATTAATCATAGTAGGTATCTATATAATTATTACTGGCATGGCTCAATGAAAAGCTGGATGTTGTACAGGGTCGGATTATACAGGGTGTAACTAAATAAGTGTAAAACATTTAAGGGGGTGATTCCTCATCGAAAAAAAGATAGGATCTTTCATATAAAGAAACTTCATTGGAGCATCCCTTGTTAAGACACAGCCTCTTAAAGGGGGTACATAAAATTTGTTTAACAATTTTTTTCACAAGCACTAAACAAGTTACAGTATTGAAATTAACCTGACATTTTCTACTACCAAAAAGACACTTAGCCAGTAATTTATTTGGTTTACCCCATGGTTGTAAGGGGTGGAAAACGCAACCCCTAAAATTTATTTCCAACGTAACTTTTTGTCTTATTATTTGTTTACCATTTAAAAATTTATTTCCAATAGTCTGTTTCATTCTAAAAAAAAAATGTCTCTTGAATTTTTTGCCCAAAATAAACCAGTTCGCAGTAAAAATTATTTTACGAACAACTACAGAGATACATCGTCATAAATGCGAACTGGATTTACTGTTATTTTGTAGTTACTACCTGCATTAAATGATTAAAGGGGAATAATCAAAACTAATTTATTAATAACAAAACATACAACATGTAGAAATCATAGTAAATGATCAATATGTCTACCTTCAGACATTACGCATGCGTCTAGACGTCGGCGCATTGAGCCACGTATTCGCTCAAATATTCCTGGAGTCTCTTTAATTAGCCTGCACGCATCGATAATGCGGTTTCTTAAGTCCTCTACATCGCGAACAGGAGTACGATAAACCAAATGCTGCAAATGGCCCCAAGTAGAGAAATCGAGAGGATTGAAATCCGGGGAATAACCCAATAGTGCCGATGTGTGCTTTTACCCTAGAGGTGGGTGCCACCCCTCCATGAGGGTGGGAATTTTTTTATTCAAAAAAAATACCTCACGATTCGATAGAGGAAGGATTTCTAAGCATAAAATGTTCTATAAGAATTTTTTGTACTGTCAATACTTTTTGAGTTCGTTTTTAGCCCAAAAAATTCATGTTTTTGAGCCATTTTTCGAGAAAATCTCAAAAACTACAAGTTTTATCAAAAAAATGATCATAAGCAAAAATGAAGGTAATTAAATAGCAAAGATATTGCTTTTTTTATTTTTGTAGGTGATATAGAACCCGAGTTATGACTCCCAGAAGTTGAAGTCAATTTCGAATATAGCTATAATTGAAACGTTCAACGTCCTGTAGCGGAAAAATTAAAGGTTTTTCGAGGAAAACTTATATAATACTTATTAAAGTTCTTGAAAAGACCTTTAAATTGGTAAAAGTCGTTAGCATGAAAACTAATGAAGTTACAATCAAAATAAAATGATTGTCTTGATTTTTGAGAAAAAAAAAATCGGTATTAAAATTAACGGAAAAAAAATTAAACGTATTCCTTCTGCAATTTACTTTATTTATATATTAACAGTAGATTCTGGGAATTTGAACGATTTTAGAAGCCTAAATTTAAAAAATTATTTCATTTACTTTTGAATAAAATTTTTCAATTTAAAAAAAAAATCGCCTTTTTTCAAAATATTTCAAAATCTAACAAAGTTGTAAAAAAATGATAGAATAAGAAATTGTAAGTTTTATCTTACTGACCAATTTGCTTTTTTTAAATTTTTGTAGGACTGACATGACCATTAGAAGCTCAAAACTAAGCTCCAAGACTGCCTTTCCTGAGCCCTTTTAGCTTACAAATCTATAAAACGAAGGGCTAAAGAAAACTGCAAATCACAGAACTTAAAGTGCTTTAAATTCCCCACAGAATGGTCTTTTGAATAAATTTATAACTTTAAAATTACAAAAGTTATGGTAAAAAAATTAATCGCATTTTTTCGGTGAAATTTTCGGAGCGGGTAAATTACCATCATCTTTGTGTATTCTGGAGCACTTGTGAACTGATTTGAGTAAGAATTTTAATAATATACATACACACACGTATCCGAGTTCACATGTATATGTATGTATACATTCGGAAATTGGCTGAGGCCTCAAGGTTGGCACCAAACGAGGAATTCTGTATACGCACAGGTTGGCAGCACTACTTAGATAAAGTGCATGCAATGTAGTGCTTTCATATTTTTTTTTATGAGGGGTAGGTCTTCCATAAGGTTTTCTGGGTGGCAGAAAAGTTGCAATATATCATAGATCATTTGAAAACCAATAAAAAGTTTATAATTCAACATATGCATACCATTAAAACATCTCAAGCTGTCAATAATATTTTTTTGTTTATTTTATTATAAGCGATGGTTTGTAAGAGTTGCAACTTTGTAATGAGTCGTAAGCTTTCTAATGAATAACAAAAGAAATGCACATTGTGGATGCACCAAAAGAATATTTTAAACTGTTAAAAACTTTTTTTTCTATTTTTTTGGCCATGGAAAGGTAGTTTTTAAGGATTTTTAAGGATTGATTAAATTTCATAAATTACATTAAAAAGCATGAAAGGAACTTTATCCAACATATTTGAACATGAATTGAATCTTTAAAATACGTAAATTTGCGATTTCTGCATTTTTTTCGTACAAGGGCAGTTTTCACCCCCCAAATAGAAAAAAGCACACATCTAGACAATATAACTTTTGAAGTGGGGGGGTAAGATGAGCTTGTATGCAAATTTTCAGGAAAATCCATGCTAGCCGAAAAAATTTGGAGCTTATTTTCGCCCTCAGTGACTGGACTAATATAAAAATGTAAGTTTTTAGACCCTCTCAAATCGTTGTAGTCTCAGTTTTGCAAAAATTAGCAAGAAAGTTAAAAAAGTGTTCTTATGGTTATAAAAATATTGTATGACTAAATAATTACTCAATCAGGTGAGATGAGTACGACGTTTTGTACAACAGTTGCTGTTTTATAACGAAAAACAAACTTCAAGGGAAAAAAAGTCGAGCAATCGAGTCTCGTGTAGACCATGATGGTCTTTACCAGAAAATATTCCTCTGGAAGTCGAAGCTGCATCTTTAGGACTAAGTACTTCCGTCAAAATCTAAAGAACAACAAAGAATATTCGTTATTCAAAGCTCTCTTGTCACTAAGAACCAACCTATAAAAAATAGCTTGGCTTATAAAATCAATGCTATAAAACATTTACAAAATTGCAACTGTTGGACAAAAAAATTAAAGGCTTAAAACTCCTACACCATAGCTATAAAACAGTGGCTTAAATTTACCTAGAAAAAAGATATCACAATTTCTTAGTTCGGCCCTGGTTATACGTACTCGAGTACATTGCAGTCTAGGAAAAACATGATATATGAGTTTACATACGAAGGTGTTATTAGCATAAGAATCTTCATATTTTAATCCACGACGCCAGTCATAATGTAACATGTCAAACCCATAATTGTGGATTTTCCACAAACAACACACAATTAAGTGCTAAATATCATTATATTATTATTAAATTAACATTAATTAGAATGGTACATCCGCAAATGCGTATTTTTTAATAGCTAAGCAGCGACTTGCTCATCAATTTATTGGTGTGGAAAGAACAATTTTTTTATAAAGGTAATCACTAGATACGTTTTCGTGGAAATTGCGGGAAAATTAAATACAATTGCTGTAATCCTTTCATTGTGGGTACTTAATAGTATTCAAATATTTTTCTTCTCTCCCTATATCACTCACTATATTTTATTATTATTATTTATATTTAGTTTGTTCGTTTGTTGGAACCATAGACTTTATACTAACAAGGTCTATGGTTGCAACAGTTGTAGCCGTAATTATATTTAAATAATTAAATAAGTCCATGGTTTTAGCTAATGTTCCCGCTTCAGTGCATTCGTATGAACCATCGAAATTTAAATTTCGCTGATATGGATCGCAGAAAATCCTGGCTCCGTTTTTGTATTCTCAAGACGTCTTACTCTGCATCAGTCCGTTATATGCCATATATGATAACCACATTGCGATAAATTCGCATCATGAATAATTTAGATGACTATTTACTTCCCAATGAAGATGATTTTAATTACAGATTATCTCACGCTTACAAGTTAAATTTATATTACACGAATTATTTAATGATCTTTTTTGTTATGGTTTGCATCCTTGAAGATAAACATCAGCAATTATTTTCATATACAAATGTTTAAATTATACAACTGTTGAAAATTGTGTTTTAATGCTAGTTTATACAGGGTGTAAAACACTGCTACGTGTCAAAAAGGAAGGAACCCTTCTTCGTCCAAAATTGGGAATATTTTCTTATATAAATGTTTGCCCTTGAATCCTTCGGTTTATATACAGAGTGTTGAAGTTAAATAAATGTTACAGCTACAATACCTTTTGAAGTGGGGGGTCAGATGAGCTTGTATGCAAAAAATTTTTTCTAAAAATCTGGAAAAACATCCCAGCGTACATCTGCAAACGATAAAAACGTCAATAGTCTCGGTTTTTCAGTGTGTATTAGTTTAGCAAAAAAATTACAAGAAACAAATAAAAGCACATATTTTTACTGACAAAATACCAACAAATGTTTGTTTTAAATTTATTTCAGGAAGTTGGTCAAGCCATTTTAGACGGATTGAAATATAACAGCACTATAAAAAAACTGGATCTGAGAATGTGTAGAATATCGACAGAAACCGAGTTTGAAATTCAGGAATTGGTCAGTGCCAAAAAGGTAGGAAAAATTTTACCGTTGATTGAACAAGTCCAAAACGATTTTAGTGTAGAATCTATAGCTGAAGATTTTAACGCAGATTTTGAAACAATTCTGCAATAAATCGTCGTTGTACAAGTATTCATTCTCTTAAAGCAGGTAATTTGCTGTAATATATTTTTTATAAAGTGTAATATTCTTAAGTATGACTTGTAAGAATAAGAAATTGAAATAAAAGTGAGTGGTTCTTCTTATCAACATAAACAAAATAATCCATATTATGGTTTTTTTATAATTATTTACTTATCTAGTCAAAAAAAAATCAACCGGGAATAACTAAATCTGAAATAAATCAATCATTGATGAATGAAGCACATTTATTATGGCTCCTAACTTTAACAATCTACTCACAAATCAAATGTGCAATATAGCGAGATCCACAAACTTTCGGCCAATGTGTATATGTGGATTAAAAATTCATTTGTTAACCCTTTAGCAGGTGTCCCATGCATCCGAAATCCGATGTACGATATCCGAAAATATTTTAATTCGTACGAATGATAATATTATAATTCACATGCATCCGAAATTAATATCATAGAAATCAAGTATAGAACCATGGAATTTATTACAAGATGAAGGTGAAACATTTTCAAATGACAACAATAGGTATATAACGAGCGTTCAAATAAAAACGTGGTCGATGTTGGCTCTGACACATGTTTCAGAGACAGCCAGGATCAAGAAACGAAGACAACGACACACACACACACATACACACCCCCCATACCCTCCTTAACCCTCCCCTCCCGCGCTAGCCTAAGGGCCACCTTAGCAAAGCGCATCCCAGGCTGCATAGCCGCACTACCCTACCCAACCATACCACACATAAACATGACACTACCCCCGGGGTTTACACAGACGAGCCGGCGAAGCAAGAAGAGCGCCAGAAGAAAGGGCCCTAGCCGGCGGGGCCCAGCCAGGACAAAAGGAGGTCCCACAAAGCGCCTACACCGGCCGCATTTGCGGTCGGGGTAGACGACGGATGGGGCCCACCTACGAAGGCTGTCCAGGCCTACACGAGATGAGGCAGGATAAAGAGGGATAATCCCCCTCGATCCCAAATCATTGAGGCCAATTTCTAG